CTATGGCCCTTCCTGCCAGACTGTGTTTGTAGTTGTCATAATCATGTTAGAAAAAATATCTTGAAAACATTCTCTTAATGTATATATTTTTGCTTTTTTTTTGCTAAATTCTGGGAATATTCTTAGATGTGGTAAAGGTCGCTGAACTTTTTTATTTCTATTTAATGAAACTCTTTTTTCATGCTAAGTTCCTATCAATGTGAATATTATTTCATGCTTTTAGCAATCACAGAGTGTTTATGTTCTGCTCATTGCATCTTCTTAATGAAGAGAACTTTGCTGTAGTCTTGACCTCTTTTTTCCCCCAGACTATTTTCAACCAGAGTAGGCCAATTGAACTTGAATCTGTTTCTCCTCTGTGCTTGATCAAATCCATAATGGGGGCAGGGTTTCGGGATGGGAAGGGGAGAATAGAGGCCTGTGCTGTGAAAAATGGTAAATGAGTTTAAAGGTGCTGTCCTCACAACCCTTTTAATCTTGTCAAATCGTTGTTCTTTTTTTTTTCCCCTTGGGAATTATTTATGGGTAGAAATGGAGATTTTTATTCTACTAACATAATCAGGCCATTCGGGGACAAGAATGCAAGATTCTTGGCCCGTGGGCAATGATCTTATTTGACTGATACTATCACCTGATCTGCCCCATGGAAGTAAATAAATCTAAAATCTCTTTGCTTAATTTTCCTTATAAAGAGAAATATGACTAAACGTCTGCCAGCTGCTAAGAACTAATGCTGCTGTGGGGACAGTTGATGGCTGGGATATTTTAGTTTTATTATAAAATTACTTAGACTTCAGGGAAATACAAATCAAAACCACAATGAGATACCACCTCACATCAGTCAAAATGGCTAAAATTAACAAGTCAGAAAACAACAAATGTTAATGAGGATGTGGAGAAAAGGAAACCCTTTTACATTGCTGGTGGAATGCAAGCTGGTACAGCCACTCTGGAAAACAGTATGGAGGCTCCTCAAAAAGTTAAAAAAAAGATCTACCCCATGAACCAGCAATTACACTACTAGGCATTTACCCTGAAGATATGAATGTAGTGATCTGAAGGGGCACCTGCACCCCAATGTTTATAGCAGCAATGTCCACAATAGCCAAACTATGGAAAGAGCCCAGATGAATGTGATATAGAAGAAGATGTGATATAGATAGATAGAGAATGGAATATTAGCCATCAAAAAAATGAAATCTTGCCATTTGCAATGACGTGGTTGGAACTAGAGGGTATTATGCTAAGCGAAATAAGTCAATCAAAGACAATTATCATATGATTTCACTCATATGTGGAATTTAAGAAACAAAAAGAGGAGCATAGAGGAAGGGAGGGAAAAATAAAACAAGACGAAATCAGAGAGGGAGACAAACCATAAGAGACTCTTAGTCATAGGAAACAAACAGAGGGTTGCTGGAGATGAGGGGGGTAGTGGGTTTGGGTAACTGGGTGATGGGCATTAAGGAGGGCATGTGATGTAATGAGTACTGGGTATTATATAAGACTGATGAATCACTGAACTCTACCTCTGAAACTAATATTACACTATTTGTTAATTAATTGAATTTAAATAAAATTAAATAAAATTTAAAAAATTACTTAGACTTAATTGTAAATAGGGCTTCAGGTGTGTGTATATATATATATATATACAGATAAATATACACACACATATATACACAAACACATATATTAAAATTTCATATTTTAATATATAATTAAATCAATCTTTCCATTGAATTTAGTTTTTTCAAAGTTTTATAAGGAATTTTATATGACAGAATGGAAGAATCTATCTTTTCTGTGAATTTCATAGGTGAGAAGTAGTTTTAGAAGCCTCTGAATTTTTATCTAATTTATAATTATGAAAGAATTTCCTCCTATAAGAATGACTCAGTGTGAAAGATCTAGTAGCGGAATCATTGAACAGAGTACCATGCAGCAGTTACCAATCATAGAAGACTCCAAATATTTCTGTCCCCTGCATCTTGGTATTGGTATTGCCAAGGAAAACACAATTCAATCAAGCACTGGATGGGACAAGGCTTTGTTCACATAGAGAAGAGAAAGCAAGATCAGTCTCCATAGTGGGCATTGGTCCCCCTTGGCCAGTAGGTTTCTCCCAGCAGTCTACCCAGGACAACTCACATATGCTCACACATATGTGTTGCAGTGGAAGGACCCCATGTTCTCCACACAGAGGATAGGTACAGCAGTGGGGTTGGCTAGGTGCCGTATGATGCACGTGCTTATACAGAACAAAAGGGCACACACTGAGCATGAAACAGCAAAAGATATTCCCACACAAGTTGATAAACCTGGCACAGCTATGTAGGTTCTTTATCACTTGGTAAAGAAGTATTCCAGGCCCAAGATCCATTCTTACGTGGCTGAGTCGGAGCCGAAAGACACAAGACTGCCTTTCCCAACAAGGATGAACACAGATCTTTGTGCATTAGGTATTTGGTCACAAGGATAGTTGTCTTCCTGGTTGGGAAATTTTCGTTATAATTGTGAGGAAATGGAACCATTTTGAAGAGATGTGTTAATACAACCTTTTAATGGTCAGAGTCATTCCTTAACTATGTTGTATACTCTGACTGAGGGGACCATTTTCTTATCAAAATATCAGGACCCTTTTCTTATCCCGGGCTAGATTTATTATCAATCTCTTTTCTGTGCATGGGCACCAAGATGACTTTCTCATAGTTTCTGTCCTGAAGGAAAGCTTAGTTATATATGACACAGATTGGAAGAGAGGCCCAAATCCATGACACTCAGAATTAGGGTCAGGAAAAAGGTAGATGCTAATATAGAGGAAAGTTCAGTAGCAGATTATTTAAGGCTTTCTAAGGAATATTTTATCCAGTTTCCATTTGAATTCAAGATTTAAGCCATTAAGTAGTCATGAGAAAAACAATCTGCAGGAAACTGTATAAGTAAGTAGGTGATAGCCAGTGGGGAGATGCAAAAGAGGAATAGGATTTCATAACCAGAGGTTAAAATTTAGGAGTAGAATATTTACTCCTGGTTTTTGTTGGGATTTTTTTGTTTTGTTTTGTTTTGCTTTGGTGTGTGTGTGTGTGTGTGTGTGTGTGTGTGTGTGGCTACACAATTGGGATTTGTTCGCAAGAAAACAAATCAAAAGCTGAATCACCAAGAAAGTAGGGCATTTAAGACCTGAATAGAACCAGACAAAAAACTGATCATGTTTCGTTAGTGATTTAGAGTCTCTTAAATTATCCATTTTGGGGGCCAGACTTGATTGTAGAACTTGAGATAAAGAAATGCAGAGAACATATCAAAAGGCAAGGGTGAATGAACTGGGCATGCCAAAAATGCCAAGCAAAATCAATACATGTGTATGTTAATTCTTATAAAAATTACCATCCTTGCCAAATCTTTGGTTTAGTTGAGTTATATAGATAGGTCCCATATTTTTCTTACTCCTAGAAGCTCAACAGGTACTGAGATTGAGAAAAGAGGAGATTGAAGTTAGGAATTCTCCCACAGCATCCTTAATCCTAAATGATCTGTTCTTGATTTAGAGAGACAGTTATCCATTGCCTAACTCATTGATTAAGGAATTCCACAAGCAAATTATTGTCTCCACTGAGAGTCCAAATCAGCAGAAATCCCTTCTCTGAAGTTGGAGTCAAAATCCTAACAAAGGTCCTACCACAGGCCATGGGTTGAGTTCTCTGAGAAGGAGACCGAGATGAATTAAAACTTATAGAAGGGAGAAGAAGGCAGCAGGATCTAGCAGAAGGAGTAGTTGAATTGTAATCTTGGCCTGTGACAACTTCTACCAATGACCAACCCCATAGAGAAACTCTGGAACAAAAACAACCTATTAGTGTTGCTCTGCACTGTGGGGACTAAAATGACCTGGCATTTATATAAACTCTCATTAGTCAGTTGGTGTGATCTGTTCCCATAGGGGCATGACCTTGAGCAAGGAAGTTCTCTGCAGCTAAAGCCATCCCTGCAGGTGCTGCCAACTGAAGGTAGCCTACCAGCAGCAGCCCTAGCCATTGGGACAAGTTTTTCTTGAAGGCAGCAAGTACTGCCTTGAAGGAGAATTGGAGACAGCATCACAATGACCACCACAACTTCCCCTTCTGTCATAATAATGCTGTGTTGAAAAAACAAACAAACAAACAAAAAACACACATAAGAGTGGGTCTCTGGGTACATATAAGAATTCACTAAATAAAATGTATCATTAGTTCCATCTTACAATTAATATTAATGTCTACATACATTTTGTTCTTTACAAAATAAGGCTTTCTAGGCATTTTTTCTCTAAATAATGGTGGCAAAGCACCTCAATCATAGAATATATCAGTTTATGGCTATGGACTTGTTTTTTTTTATTTGTTTGCTTTTTAACATGGGAGCTGTCAGTTGGGAAAACTTCTAATCAAGAGAGACTCAGGGCAACTTTAAATGTTACAGCAGCAGTGTCCACATGCAGAGTGTGCAAATGCACAAGGCGAACTTCATGGTTCAAAATCCACTAAGGTTTTAACAGTTTTAAGGGAAGCAGTTTCAAGACCCAGAATCTAAGAAGGAAGGGTCTCGAATATCCCGTATTTCCAGCCTATCGGATATAAGTTCTACCCCTAAAAGACCATTCATTTTTTTTTAATTTTAATGAAATACTGTATTTTCTTTACAAGTTAAGATCAGAGCTGAGGTATTATTTCCCAAGTTAAACACCATCGAGTACAAATATTACAAAGGATCTGTGAGTTTTCTAAGGAATCTACATCATGTTGTGCAATTTAAATATATACGATTTCTATAAATAAGGAAGAACCATTCACTTTAAATAGACTTTTCTGAACACTCCTGTACTCATGCAGTAGTTGTAGCCAAGCATCCCAGTTGGAGAATAGCTCTGCAGAAACAGTCTTTAGAAGAAAAACCTGTCTCCCTGACAAGTGGCATGGAATGTGAGTGTAGAAAAGTAGGTAAACAATTTCTCTTTACAGGCTCCCTGGACTGAGCTCCTTCACAGAGCCCTTCTGCACCCATGGGGACCATAGGTGAGTCTACACTGCCTAATCCTAAGATCCACATCTGGAAGGACAGACCAAGTTGATCTCATTCAGGACAATTGACTTTTGTCTTTATTAATTCCTTATATAGCTGAACTATAAATATTATTAAACATTTGCTTATGAACTGCCAGAGCACCGTGCTGTTCAGCAGATGAGATTGGTGTGTTTTAATTGTATGCACTCTGAACGTGCTTAGTGTAGCTCCCCTCTGTACTCCACGTTTTCCTAAATTCCAGTTATTGGAACAATCTTTTTCCTTACAACTCAAGGCACAGATTTTCTTAATTTTTTTTTCTGTCAGTGGGGGGTGGGAGGTTGGTTTGGGGGCATGGGTGAGAATAGGAGGATTATGGGGGTGGAATGGGTTATGGCACATTTTCATTTGCAGCTGCTACAACTCTACTGCCTTAATGCAGCCCAGATCTCTGGAAACCTAACACCATTCTGGTGACCCTGGACCTGCAGCAGTGCCTCACATCACCAAATACGGTGAGTCGTTTGTTATCTGAGCCATAAATATTTACATCCACTAGTGACAAATGTATAAAGAGTGTGGAGTGACTGTGTAATTTCAGCTGCTCTCCTCAAGCCTGTCAATAGTTTCTCTTATCTCCTGAAAGCCCTAATGACTGATGTGTGCTAGTTGAATAAGAATGTACTCCCCAGCTTGTTACCCTCCTCTAATTGTTCATTATGACCACATTAGTCACCTCAGAAGTTTTTATTTTCCTTTTAAATTTAGGGCCTGTTAAATGAAATTGTTCAGACTGGCAAACATTCATCGGCCTCCTGGTCTCCCTTGTTCCTTCATATGCCCCATCCTCATTGTTGCCCTAAACCAGGACATAATCACCCTTTCTTCTTTTCTTTACTAACATAATAGTGACAAAACAATTCCCCTTTTTTTTTTCATTCTCTCGTGCATATAGATGACTTGGGAGGCAAAGTCTTAATAATGTGTCTAAGCAGTGCTTAGACGTACGCTGGTAACTTTCTAAATCTAATAGGTGGTTATAATACGGAAGTATTTTTAAGCAAGCACGGTGAAAACTCTTTCAAATATTAACTGGCCTGAAACTGAGCATGCTAAGGGCAACGTGGAACCTGTTTTATTCTTCTATCAAGAGCTGGACTAGTAAGAAAAATGGAAAATCAGTAAGATCATGCTGTTGGTCTTCTCAACCAGGCCATTATGCAGGGCTTGTATTTTTATATAATTACTAGGAAAAGAACTCCAAAGGTTAGATAGAGTAATAAAAATTATATTTAATCAATTTGAAAGATGAGAGCTAACAATACCTAAAAATTTGTGCAAGTCAACTTTAAAAGACCTGAGTCATTCTTGCTAAAACGATGAGTGGACTAGTGCTGACTAATAGCACATATGCCTTCATCATAAGCATAACCTTTGAGAAAAATAGCTACAGATTTCCCTAAAACACTGTGATGGCTTGATGGTTAAAATTCAAAGGCTAAATTATAGGTCAGCCTTTGTAGGATTCTTCCTGTAGATAGAATTTGGATTTAGCAAGAACTTTAGCAGACCCCCGGAAACAATGGAGTTAATAACTTGCAGAATCATACCTGGAAAGAAGATTCAACTAACAATGCTTTGCAGATAATTTGAGCATAAACAAATATTAGTTGAATGAATTGATCAATGAATGAATGAGAAGAAAATTTGAGAAAAACAAGAAAGAAAAGCTCCTAAGAGAGAGGGTATTCAGTTTTTTAAAAATCTTCATTAGAAAGCATGTGTCAGGAACTTAGCTCTTCTCATCTTTTTCGTGTGTGTGGGTGTGTGTGTGTGTGTGTGTTGTGTGTTTGCATAGCAGTGACTGATTAAGGTAACACTGGTTTTCATGAGTCAGTGACTTATAGAAGATTAAGCTAGAATTGACTGTGGATATGGATTTACTTAGGAATATTTACATTTGTAGCCTTAAAAATTATTTGGAATTCAGTTACCTGAATTAACAGCCATGTGCTCAAGATAATTTTCAATAACACATTGGCTGCTATTCAGGCTCAGGGGCATAACTTGCCTCTAGTATGCAACTACCTTTTCACCTACTGCTTGGCCTTCTACTTTCTAAATATTCAGTGCCCTCTTAATGTTTCCTAGCTGAAGAGAGTTCTTGCCTTCTCACCAGGGCTTTATATCCTCCATGCTCTCAAATTATCTTCCCCTCCCTGCCCAGCAAAGCTCCCATTTCCTGAATTACTTCTTTTCAGCTTGATATTCATGTGATTATTAAAATAATTGTCACTATGACTTATAGATTTGATCTCCCCAGGATATTTGCTTTTAAAAAGGGGAGTTTGCTAATCTATATTAATTTCTAATTGTTCAAATATTTGTATGAGAAGAGATGGAAATATTTTAATTAGAAGACCTTTTGGTGGCTCTTATCTACTCATACCTCTCTGGGCTGGGCACCTATTCCAACACTTATGCAAGGTCTCCACCAAATAGTACAATATACAGATCAACATTTTTCAGTTTCATATGGTCATACTCTCCTATGTTCTTTGGCAAGTGTCTTTTCACCACAAAATTCCCAATGGATGGAGAATTATAGTTAGACAAATGCAACAAAGCTTAAAGGAGTCATCATTCAAAATAGAAGTTACAATGGGGAAGGGTGTCCAGTGTTGGACACAATGTTCTATGGAACATGTTCTCAGGATCACCTGAGATTAAGATATTTGACCTTGGGACACTCATTTAACTGCTTACTCACCATTTCCTTATCTGTAAAATGGGAATACATGCTGTTGTTCTGTGGATCTAGGAAGTAATGTATGTGAACATGCTGAGTAAAATAAGCATCTTAAATAGAAACCATTATTATTATCAACCAGTAGAGAGTTTAAGTAGAATACTTCGGGTGTAATCACTTAAAGTGTAATTCTTCAGCCACATCTTCTCCTTTGAAGAACAAATCTTCTGAAAGTATGATCAGTATTTCATTGTTTTAATTATTTTTTGTCCTTAAAATACAATTCAGTGTTGAGATTCCAAAATAAAGAAGCAAAGAAACAAATCATTTTTGTCCACCTTTATTCTGCTTCTCAGACTTTTTTTTAAGTTTGGGAATGAATATTGTGAGATAGTATGTATAGTATGCAGGGAGACCTAATAAATTGGTCAGAGCGCAGAACTCACAAGTCATAATCAGAAGTCCTCAAAACTAGCCTTGACTGTAGTTTTTCAACAATAGACCTTGGGAGTGTCACCAAATCTCACTGAGCTTTGGTTTTCTTATTGTTTAAAAGGAGATAATTCAGGAAAAACATCTGGGGGGCCCAGTAGGTTAAGCAACTGCCTTTGGCTCCCATCATGGTCCCAGGCCCTGGGATGGAGCCCAGTATTGGGCTCCGGGCTAAACAAGGAGCATGCTTCTCCCTCTCCCTCTGCTGCTCCCCCTGCTTGTGCTCTCTCGCTCTCTCTCTCAAATAAATAAATAAAATCTTTAAAAAAAAAAAAAAAGGAGGGGCGCCTGGGTGGCTCAGTTGGTTAAGCGACTGCCTTCGGCTCAGGTCATGATCCTGGAGTCCCGGGATCGAGTCCCACATCGGGCTCCCTGCTCAGTGGGGGGTCTGCTTCTCCTTCTGACCCGCTTCCCTCTCGTGCTCTCTGTCTCTCATTCTCTCTCTCACAAAAAAAAATAAAAATCTAAAAAAAAAAAAAAAAAAAAAAAGGAGATAATTCAGCCATTTATTCAAGAAATACTTTAAGCACATTCTGTGGCATCTTGATGGAAATATAATTTAAAGTCACCCTTGCCCCTGAGGGTTCACCTGCCCTGTCTACCTCGTAAGAATTTTTTGAGTATCAAATTAGATGTATAAGAATGTGACTTGGCAACTCTAAAGTCGTCTATAAATAGATAAAATTAAGTCTTCATCATGCAGAGAGCTACATTTAAGAATGGCAAACAGCAATTTTTAATCTTTAATGAACATAGAACCAAAGGCATAGGTATTCACATAATCGTATTATAGGGCTTCCCAAGAAAGTCTATGGAGGTTTTGTCTTATTTTTTAAATCAACAAAAGACTTAAATGCCCCCAAAAGGGGAGGGCAAGATAAACACTTGAACTTCTTCCTCTTTTTTTCTGTGATCCTCTAAAAGCAAATGTCAGCAACAGTAGCTTCAGAATATATTTGAATAATAATGCTACTCTGTTCTTTATGTTATTTGAATGTGCTCTAAACAGAGAGTCATCTTAAGTGGTCACCAGCAACTTAAACCCAATTTTACTTCTTTGGAACTTACAAGTCATGAGTTAGGCAGGCATAATGACAAAATCCTCTCTAAAACTTAATTTAAATGATTCATTAGTAAACTAGGTTATAACTTATGATGATATATTTTATAGCCTCAAGTTTAAAATCAAGGACTTGGAAATATATATTAAATCTCAGAGAAAAATTATAGTTAGGCAAGTGAGTGAGCAAGATATGTCTTGATTCTTTTTGGTCTGAGTCACATGTTTAATGATGAAGTTAGGTTGTGTGTGGGATTGGTTGGCAGGAGTTACATGTTGCCACATTTGGAAGGAGGCTGATTTTTTTTCAGCCAATATGCCTACTTTCACTATTGCCTTTGAAAGTCCCCAATAATTCTAGTTATGTGTGTGCATGGCATATTTCTACTTTGAATTGATTCATTACAGTCTCATGCTTATTTCAGACAAGATTTCTACCTGCTTTAATATAATGAAATGTGTTCTTTGTGATTTGAAAAACAAAAAATAAAATGAAACAAAACAGAACAAAACAAAACAAAACAAAAAAGAACTGTGGATCAGAGTGTCATGAAGAAAACATGTTGCAGATCCTGAAACACCTAATCAGGTTACAGTTAGAAGGGTTCTCAAAAATATCAGTGACACAAGAAATGTCTTTGGGAATATCTTCATTTTATATATGGTTTTTTTTTTCGTGAAGTGCTTCATTATTCATATATTATGAACTGTTCATAAGACTTGGCGTAGATCCTCTCCTCCAGGCACTTTGGTCTCCAGTGACCTGTTAAAATGGTCTTAGCACGTTCATAAGGCTTTTCATTGCAGTCCAGCCTGTTTGTAAAAATGATCCATCAATATCATGTTCAGATGACAGTCTACATAGAACCTGCCTTTGCTTAAGCAGCCTGTCTAATGCTGAGAGCATAGAATTCTATCCAGGAATGACATCTTGAATAAGTTTGGATTAGGGCATATTGCATTCTTCTTCAAGACTATTTTTTTTTTCCTTCTCTTCAGACATTTCCTTGCTTTTACAAGGCTATAAAAATAGGAACACATTTTTCTTTCCTTTGAAATTATGTTGGCCCTAGTTTTTCTCTTCTCTGGGGTATAAGATAATTAAATCTGCATGCAAAGAAGGAAATGTTTACAAAGCCATGATTTTGATGTCATATGCTGTATTCAGCCCCAATATCTATGACAGCCCATCCAACCTCTGCTTGTTGACATCA